AAAACTCTGCTGGCCTGATTCCCTCTACCGAGTAGACAGAGTGACGTCTTATTCTCCAGCTCCCACTCTGTTTACTCTGGTGCTTTGTTTCTGTGGGACCTTGCTAAGCAGAGACTCAAGAAGGCTATCCAGTGAGCTGTCCAAGGTGCTGAAACACTACCACTCTGAAGTATCTTTAGCATTGTCCTTGAAAGACTGTCTCAGACTGGTTTATTCAATGATATCATTATTTCTTTTGTGCCAAGAATTTCATTCCCATTTTACAGACGATAAATAGAGTCCCAAACAGAGAGTAGGACCTGGACTCAAGCTTCTTGTCTTCCAGCCTAGGATTTTTTTTCCCCACCCACTTCTGCAAAACAAGGTAGCCTTCAGTCAGTGCTGTGAGCTTGAAGCCTCTTGTTTAAGTTAATCAGGACCTAGTGGGTGAGCCTTTGTATTTAAAAGTTGTTTGGGGGCTCAAGCCTGGTGTTAAATAATATTTGAGAAGAAATTGCTTTAAGTGAGTGGTACAGCACTGATCTGTCAGTCTGCTGTACTGAGGTAACTTGGGGTTGCGTGGGATACAATACACTGTGCCACTGGTGTGTCAAATACCATAATGATTACCCATGGTGGGCAGTGGTTGGTAGAGCTCCCAGATTAAGACAGGACTAGAAGCAGGATTGGCATCCACTTCCTAAACAACATGCCTTTGGAAACTCTATGAACATTAGAGAAATGATGAAAGTTATAGACTAGGGTTCAGATCTTTTGTTCACAGGGCTGCTATGAGTCGTACTAGACTCAATAACACTTAACAAGAACAACAAGAACCCTACAAATGGTTTCACCTCTGCCACCAAGTTAACATGTAAAATGTTCAGAATCTTTCTTACCCTGATCCAGCTCCACTCCTACAAACATATACAGGCGTGCCCACCTCTCAGTGCCTTCTGAGATACTCCAGGAGCCATGCCACTGAGATCCCTGGGGTGGCTCTGACTGCAGCACTCCTCAGGTTTGTGTTGAGCTTTCCTCCATTATCAGCGCTCAGTGACTCTGCTTTCATAGAGCTATGCCGGCATCTTCCTTAGGAAGAACTTGGCAGGTCAAGTTCTGGTGGAAAGGGACAGTTGAGGATGGGGCTTTACATTCATTACCGTGTTGGCCAGTCACGAACAGAAGGCAAGACTGAGGTTAATCTCGACATTTTACAGATGAGAAAATCGAGGTCTTGCAAGGTGATATGACAAGCCCAACGTTATAAACTCTGGGATCAAGATCTCCAGAAATCCAGAAAAGGGCTCTTCTAATTCTACTCTAATAATAGTAGGAGTACAAACTCAGGTACAGAAATTAAAAATTAACAAGGTGCTGCTACTTGTCACTGATTCCAAGGCGTTTTGGGAGGATCTTAGCTGATTCTCTTCTGCTGACTGACCCACCCCCAGCCTGGCTAGAAACAATTAACTGGAGAAATCACACTGATTCAGAAGCAAGAAGGATGACTTTCACTCAAGTTGTGCTCAGAGAACAAGTCACTGTTCTGTAATCACCTCAAGCACTTCCTGCCCATCATCCAATGAAGCCTTTCCAGGTTTAATGAGGCTGGGCAGGAGGAGATGGATGGGAATGCACAGGGTCTTGCCAGGGCAGCCTGGCACACAATCACAGTCTATCTTATCCCTGAGCACCAGGCAGGTGGGAATAGCAAGATGATTCCAACCTGCGCCAAATTCCCCAGAGTTCAAGGACAAGAGGTGATTTGCATTCCAGATGGAAGAAAGAGAGGCAATGGCCTGGCCTCTAGACTGCAGGAGCTCTGGCCTGGGGCAAGGGGCACATGGACTCTGTGATCTCCCAGTGTCCTGATTTCCCTTTTTTCACAAGAAACAGTGACTAGGCAGGCAGCTGGGCGTGAAGGAGGGGGCACAAGGAGGCGGGATTCTCAGTGAGTAAGACAACCAAATCAAACTTTCAGACAAATGAATATGATCAGATGGTAACAACTTTAAGCAAGCCCTAAATCATGAACACATCTCTGCTCCTACTTACATTTCACCCTCCCCAAACCCTCTGGAGAGAATGTTTCCTGGGGTTAGTATCAAATCAAAGAAAACCCCCAAGAACTGGTGGGTTAGTCACTTCCAATTCATAATAACTGTGGTCCGGTAGAACTGTCCCGTGGGTTTCCCACGGCTGTAATCTTCATGCAGGGGGCTCTGGTGGCCTAGTGGTAAGGAGCTGCATTGCAATCCGGAAGGTACTTAGTTCAAGGTCACAGACTGCACTGTGGAAGAAGGAGCAGTCTCCTTCCCTGTGGTTGTCTCTAAAAATCCACCAGAGGGTCAGCAATGGGTCATTTCTGACTCGAGGGCACACAACATCAATCTTCACAGAAGTAGACTACCAGGTCTTTGCTCCTTTGGGGCAGACATCATGCTTGGGAGGGTGAAGGGACAGCACAAGAGAGGAAGACCCTCGATGCAATGGATTGACTCAGTGACGGGGGTAATGGGAGTAGGTGTGCCAGAGACAGTGAGGTTGGCTCAGAATAGAGCAGACTTCAGGGCTATTGTTTGAACTGACATTTTTTTTTGTTAACAAAATCTTAGCCACTGCGCCAACACGGATTGTTGAGTTTAACTCCCAAACTCACTACTGTTGATTTCCAACTCATTTTAAGCCTTCACTGGGTTGTGGAGGGGATAAATCCTAATGAGAGGAGAGTGCTCATCTTTCACCCCCTGAGCTGTGGGTGGATTCAAACCACTGGCTGTGGGTAGCCCCTGGGTTACCAGTACAGCATGCTACAGGTTGTGAAGTCTGAGCTCCATATCTTAGACAATTCACTTCATCTTCAGCCACCCAATGTGAGATTTTAATCCCAAACATCTTTTACCTTCTACTCAAAACCCAAACCTATAGCTCTTCCATTTGTCATTGGAAGTTATGGATAAAACTCACATTATTGTTGTTGTTGTTATGTGCCGTCAAGTCGCTTGTGACTCTGTGACTCTGTGTATAACAGCCCTAAACCCTGCTCTATCCAGAGTCAACCTTATTGTCTCTGACACATCCACCCCCATTACCCGAGTCACTGAGTCAATCCATCTCATCGAGGGTCTTCCTCTCCTGCACTGTCCCTCCACCCTCCCAAGCATGATGTCCCTCTCCAAGGACCTGTCCCTCCTTATAACATGACCAAAGTATGTCAGACTCATATTAACAAAGATAAATTCAAGAGGGAACTCTGAGGAGTAACAGTACTTTCTCTTTCGAAGATGCCACCAGAGCTCATCTTCACCCCATTTTATCAGCATTGAAGAAAAGGAAGTGGCAACTAAAGAGTGTTCTACTCTGAGCACCCTGTACTGCAGACCAAAAGCAACTTGCCCACAGAACACATTCACCCCAAGAAAGCCCTGAGCTCCATAATCATCACAAAGGCATCCTTGCAGGTCAGTTTTCCTCATCTTGGCAGCACGCTGGCCTCAAGAAGCCCATACCCAGACAAACACGTTACAACCTCTTGGAGAGGGCCCAGGAATCAGTATGTATAGCTTTCCAAGGAATTCCAATGCAGCCAAAGTAAAGAATCTTTGATGTCTATTACCTTTCTACACCCTCAAATGGTTTTGTGACACGCTCTTAACTAAGAGGCTAGTGGCTCAAATCCACCAAGAGGAGGCTTGCAAGTAAGGCTTCGTGATCGGCTTCTGAAAGGGCACAGCTTTGAAAACCCCATGGAGCAGCTCTCCTCCGAATACGTGGAGTCTCCATGAGTGGAAATCAACTTGATGGCAACCAACAACATCTCCTTCTCACTCAGAGTGAGGACCACTGACCATCAGGAATATCTGGGACTTTCTTAGAAATGCAGAATCTCAGATCCCATCCCAGGTAATTTGTAAGTTCACTGAAGTCTAGATGCTCTATTTCACAGGTGAGGATATGGAACAGAACAGAGGTTAAGTCACTTGGCCTATGTCACTCAGTTGGTAAGACAGTTAGGATGTGACCCCAGGTCTCTCTGACCCCAAGGACCATGCTCTTTTTGCATAAACTCCTACCTCTAGCACAATAAAAACAAATGTGTTCATGGCTGATCCCTGAGCATTTGGGTCCTTGCACCCACCTGGCACAACTGACCTTTCTGAATAGGATTCCTCTTCCAATGTCAAGTTCTCAGGAATCAAACCTCATAAAGACCAGCATAATTCATGAGGAAATACAAATAGTAAATAAACACATGGGGGAAACATTCACTCTCCTTAGTAATCAGAGAGATGCAAATTAGAGCAACATTGAGGAGCCATTTTCTACCTACATAATTAGCAAAATGAAAAAAAAATACTGTTAGCAAAGTTGTTCTGAAATAGGTACATTTACACACGGCTGGTGGCAGTGTGGATTTATATAACCCTGGAGGGAAGTAATATGGCGACATCCATCTAGAGCCATAACATATTATGCCCTCTGACCCTGGGAATTCTCCTTAAGGAAAGAATTCAGTAGCAGGGCTAAGGAGAGCCGTTGTGCAAAGATGCTCATTGTAACTTCTGCTGTGAACACTGGAAACAGCTTAATATTCAGCAGCAAGGCAATGGTTGATTAAACTGAGGAGGGGGAGGACGTCAGTGTTATGCAGCATTTAAAATTATAATTAAGAAGCCCAAGCAGCAATGTGAATGAAAGAGGGAAGAATGCAGAGCTGTATGTGTGCGCTGTGGTTATTATAATGTAAAAATATTGTGTGCCTAAGAATACAGGGCAGAGTTGACACAAAGGAAGACAACTGGTGTTTCAGGATGGGGGCGTTATGGAAGGATCTCTCCCATTTTGCTTTTACAATTACAAGCTCTAGCAGAAAACAACTTTGGAGGTTCTCTGAAGGGCACACAGGAGATACTTCTATAGCCTTGGGTTTGGTCCCTCCCCATCCCATCCAGAGTGGCCCATCTTCTCCTGTGGTGAAGAAGAGCAAGGAGGCCATGGGAATGACCCTCTAGACTTACCATGAAGCCTGGGGCACAAGTGCAGCTGCCAGTGATGCTGTGGCAGTCAGCACCATTCTGACAGGAACAAGGCAACCGGCAGCCGTCACCATAGAAGCCAGCAGGGCAGGACTCATTGCAGTGGTGGCCAGACCAACCTGGCTGGCAAGTGCAAGCGCCGGTTACTGGGTGGCAGCTGAGGAGGCGAGAGAAGAGCAGGGAGAGTTCTGTCAGGGATGCAGCCATGTCTGTCCCCATCCCCTGATTTTACCAAGTCAGGTCTGCCCAGGGTGGCGGAATCAAAGGACCAATACAGTTAAAACTGCAACTGAGACTCAAGGTGTTTGAATAACACAATCTCAAGACAGTAGCTCTTTTAACTCCTTAACAAGTTATTCTATGATACAAATACACAAAGACAAAAGCAGAAGGCAGGCTCCTCATAAGGCTCCTTGCCTTATGGACTATAAAGGGTCCAGGGCTTCACTCTTCCTTTTATTCAGGGCAGGTACCTAGTGTGAGAGTAGACATGGAGAGGGTAGCAGCCAGCAGTGAGACCCAACAGCTCTGTATGGGGCCAGTCAACCTTTGCTGAGTTAAAAAGAGACCTCAGGGTAAAGAAAGGTAGCTTTTTAGACAGTACTAAAGTCATCTTGTCTGTCTCGTAACCAACCCTGTGGTAATGATTTACTGTAAACGTATCTTCTTAATTAGGGCAGGGATGCTTGGAACTTGCAGAACAGGTTCAAGTTATCCCAAGAGAACCTTTCGAAAGACATCTGGATGTCTGGATTGACAGGAAGAGATAAAGCCCTAAAGTTGCCAACCTAATGATGTGATAACTAGCACTGGATAAAACACTAAACAAAAAATTTAATTATAGGCCAACTGCAAGCCTACTGATTACTGCCCCTCAGCCTCTGTTTTTCTTTCCTAAATATTGGACACCTGGGGGGAGAGGTGTGGGAAAAGCCCAAAATGCAACCTACATTGCTGCTGGTTTTCCCTATTAGCTGTCAAATAAAAGGTCCTGTGTCTCTCTCTCTCTCTCTCTCTTGGAGTCAGAGGCTCTGGGGTTTTAAAACTCGGTTTTAGGGTAACAAGAGAGGATGTGGCCTCCCCTTCTCTGGCAATGCATTGAGAATAACTTCTACTTGTGCTTCACTAGGACTACTGTAAAAATAGTAATCCCTTTTCCATTCCAGGTCTATTTAAGCCAGAGAAAGGGCCATGTGGCTGGAGCCAGGGCCATGACCTTTACTTTTCGTTTGGCTATTCATGATCAGAGGGGACCCCAGGTGTGGTGGACACAGGTAACTCCTGACGAAGTGGAATTAACTCTAGCGGATGCACTCTGACTGAAATCTAACATTACATTCCCTTTCCTTCCTGTGGGCTGTTCTCAGCCAGTGACTAAGTCCCGCAGGGACAGTAACGTAAGGTCGTTCCTGGAAGATGCCAACTCCTCTGATGGACAACTCTGGCTTTAAGACTCTCCGTAAGTCTTAGCAAATCTCTTTGGAACTCCTGCCAATCAAACTCTCTTCCTTTCTTCTTCATTGAGTCAGACCTCCATTGAGGCCTGGCGGCTCTCTCATCAGCCTCTTTGAAACACTCTCTTGTTTCTCTGTACCATGGTTTCCTCCTCTGAATCTCATGCACTCAGCGTCTGCTTCTGGGAGAACCCAGACTAGCACATGAGAAGGTGTGAGATGGGACAGGCAACTCTCAGGGGTTCTGCGACATCCACACCTGCCTCCCTAGATCAGAGTTCAGGTCAGAGGCTACCGTTGCTATAGTTTGAGTTGTCCCCCTGAAAGATGTGTTGGAGTAGTATCAACCCCTATTATCTCTGAGTGTGACGCTATGTGAAAATAAGAGTCTTTGCAGATGTAATTCATTAACTAACATGAAGCCAAACTGAAGATAGGAATGGAGCCCAGTCTCATATGATTGGTGTCCTTATGAGAAGAGGAGAAAAGACACACAGGCAGACAGACTGGGAGAGCTTCAGGTGAAGACAGTGGCAGAAGCTGACTTAGGCTGCCACAAGTCAAGGAACACCTGGGGATACCAGGAGTTGGAAGGGGAAAAGGAAAGATCTTCCCCAAGAGTCTTGAGAGAGAGAACACGGCTCGGACACCTTAGATTCAGACTCAGGCCTCTATTACCACAGAGAAACATTTCTGTTGTAAGCTCCACAGTTGGTGGTGCTTGGTAAGGCAGTCACAGGAAAGAAGGAAGACAGTTAAGAGATGCACGCAGTTGGATTGGCATGGACCTGGGTACATTCTGTTAAGTGCCAGGAAGACAGGGCTTTGTCCCTCCGGATCCCCAGTCCTGGCTCATACTCAGGGTCCAATTAAAGAACTGGGAATGGAGAGTACTTTCACCATGTGTAATTATCTTATGTGTTTATCATCTGTCTCCTGCACCAGGTTGGAGTTTCATGACGGGGTCCCTTTGTCAGTCTGCCCACTTCTGTATTGTACACAAGGGCCCAGCAGAGTCCCTGGCACACTGGTGAGGCCTCACTGCAAATCTGGTGATTGGATTAATGAACAAACTAACTGTGTAAAGCCCAACCAGGTTGTTTCTCTTTAGGGGCCCTGATTTCCTCATAGAAAACGAGGAGGTGGACCGAACAGACAATTCCTGAATGCTACAGGCAAATACTAATAATCATTTTGGAAAATGGCTAGTTTCATTAATTATCGAGTCAGAACCACAATTAGATATGACTTTCTTCTCTACCCAAACAGTTAAGGTTTTAAAGAGAGGCAAATACTCTATGCTGGTAGAGGTTTCTAGAAAACAATTTGGGGTTATATATCAGGAATTCTAAAAATAGACTCTTGGGTCTTATAATTCCATTTCTAAGAATGTATCCATCCTAAGGAAATGATCATGATGCTGGAGAAAGATTTATGCACAGAGATGTTCCCTGAAGCATTATTTATAACACTGGGAAATGGAAGCAATTTAAATAATAATAAATAATATGTGGCCAGGCTATTAAAGCACCAGGCACTTTGCACATATATTTCTAATCTTCAAATAAGTCTGTGATTTAGGCATGAGACCCTCTATTTTACAAATGGCACTTAGAGGTTACATGACTTGCCCAAGGCCACACTGCTCAGTCAGCGGTAGGGCTGGGATAAATCGACAGTGGCCTGAACGTTGCCTCTAACAATAGGGTACTGGTTAAATAAATTATGGAAATCCACAGGATGGAATGTGAGAGAGGCACTTCAATATTTTTCAAATTATTTAATTGTGACATGCTGTAAAGTTAAGTGAAGTAAACCAACTTTATACATGATTCAAAATATGGAAAACAAGTGATACAGATATATAGGTCCAAACTCATGGGTGAAGAATGAGCAAATAACAACAAAATGGCTTTTGTGTTCCTCTCTGGGTTGAGAAATTATGAGTGATTCTGAGTTTTCTCTTTGCATTTCTATATATTCACTACTGTTCCAAAACGAAGCATCTATTATATTTATAGATAGATCTAAAGCAAAAAACCCCCTTATAAATATAAAAATGAGTGCACGCAATGAATGAGAGTTTGAAAACTCAGAAAGCAAGTCTGATTAGAGAGCAAAGGTTTTGACTTATAATTCTGGAAAAATTCCTCCCTTTGCCCCAAGTCCTTCAGGGAAGATAGTGTCAAGTCTCGGTACCATGGGGCTCCTTGTGATTCTCACTCTCAGCCAAAGAACATTTGGGAACACTAATCTCTGCCCTCACATTCCAAACAAAATCCTTAGCCTTTGTGGGGTCTAACTTCCCAGAGGCTTCCTCTGGTATATTGTGTTAGGGTTTTGGGGGTCAGGCTTAGTCACAGCTGTCGTCACAGACATGCCTGGGCCCCAGGAATGACTTGGAGGCCTTGGCTCTGTCCAGCCCTGGAGATCCTAACGGGACTTGGGCACATTTCAGCCTTCACATAAATAGATTGTTCCCAGAGTTACCCCTCCTATAGGTCACACTTTGATAAGAGCACAAGTCTGTGAGAAGCACCAGAGGTTCCCAAGAACCAACAAGCACTGACATTAGGTTGGCCTCCTGGTTGCTTCATCTGGGCCTCACCAAAGGCTTCCGGGTCTCTGGTCCTCATTTCTCACTTTTGATCTCTGCTGTGGGCATTCTGTCTACAACTTTGAGGTGTCTAAGCACCAGTTCTGCTTTTTGCACTGGGAACTAGAAAGCAGAAAATAAAATCTAAATCCTTTCTCCTTTTCATGTTCCTAAAACCATATCTATAAAAGGTAAAAAGATAAAGGGGGGATTATCTATTTTCTTGATTTGAATTTTTTTGTCTTTTATTATAAGAACTCCAAATATTCCCTTGAAAAGAGAGTGAGTCGTCACCGGTGGCTGAATCAACTGTAGTCAGCATGCTTGGAGCTGGGCCTTCCCAGCCTATCCTGCTTCCATTGTCCCTGCCTCCTGGTGGGGGCATCAGCCATTCCCTCGGATCACATGGTGACTGGTTGGCTAAGCTCAGGCAAAATTCGCCATCTCTAGTATTTCAGCTGAAGCTCCATGCACTTTCTCTTTTTTTCTCCTTTTATTTTATTCCATTTCCCCTAGACATAGATTAATTGCCAGCTAATAGGAGCCGAAAGCAGAACATTACAGGAATCTTTTCAGGGTGGATCTGCCTGCCTTTCTTTCAGCCTCTATGAGATTTCTATTGATGCCATATCTGGTGGCTAAATCAAACCTTTCAAAGGTAATACACGATTGTGGCTGCTGGAATTTGTCTGTGGCAATCCAATCACGGAGGTGACATTTAGGAGGCCTGACTTTCAGACGTCCTCTTTTTCAAGGTTATGCCTTTATGAAGGAGGATGGCTTCCTTGTGTGGGCTACAAAGAGTTCCTAAAGCTGGTGGAACAGTGGGCGATCCCACCAGCCACCTCCTCCTTTCCTGGCCATGTGAACTCAACCTTTGGCCACAGGGGCTCAATGCAGAGAGTGGCTGGGGTTTGATGGGGGGCCGAGGTGCTCTGCCTCTCCCTAGGACACATGCCAGGGCCTTGCATGCTGTCTTGATGAGGGCTGTTTTGAGCTCTGCCCAAGGTAGGTGGAAGTGAGGGGAGGTGCCCAGGGATCCTATAATCCATCTCTAGTGACACAGAAGAGGGGTGTTTGGTGGAAGCTTCACCTCTAAAGACCACAAGAGAACTCTTTCCCTGACTGGGCTCAGGAAAGGTGATGGGTAGATTGGGAAACTGAGGCACAGAGAGGAAAAGGGCATAGATCAGAGAGCTAAATTCTGTGCTGAGAGCTTGGGATGGGGGAGAGGTGCCTCAGTCCCCAATATCTGTGGCTTATATACCTTAAGATTAGAAATCATAGAGTTATCCCTGTACTTTTCTTGGGCCCTATGAAAAGCTCTATGTGGGGCAAGAAATAATGAGAAAAGAGGTGCTGACCGGTCCTGACAAGAGAGCAGTTCTCTGTGTCCACGGAACCCAGGGCAGCATGAGTTCCACAAGGACAAGCTCTTGTATAATCAGGGGATATCTGGCAATGACAGCAGACATTTTTGGCTGTCACACTGGGGTGGAGGAGGTTGGGACTGGCACACTGGTCGAGGTCAGGGATACTGCCAAGAATCCAGAAACACACAGGACGACTCTCACAATAAGAACTCTTCTGTTCCAAGTGTCTACAGTGGCGAGGTTGAGAAACCCCAGAGTTCAAATACACAAAGGTGTTTTTGAGCATTGGGGATTCAGCACACACAGTGGCAGTGTGCTGAGAGAATGGGGCAAACTATTTAGAAAGAGGAGGGTAAGTGTTCAGCTCAGGGGCAGAACCAGCTAGAGGAACAGGCTGTTTAATTCAGAGATTCTTCTTACTGAAAGCTAGTCCTATGTCAGGCTCTGTATGATCCTGAGGCTGAGGCTAAAGACATGGGCAGCCATGCAGCTCTGGGCCTCCTGATGCCCAGCCTTGTGACAGATCCTCCCTGCAGCAGAGATGGGAGACAGCGAGCGCAGAGTGTGGCAGTGGGCTGGCAGGAGCACCTGGAGCCCCCACTCCGGAGAACTACGACTGGCTCCCCATCGTTGAAACCTGACATGCGTTAAAGACAGTAAAGCAAATAATCATCAATATTGGATGGGCTGAGATTAGCGACGGGGAAGAGGGAGTCCTTCTAGATTAATAATGCATTGAGGACTCCTTCAGAGGAAGGATAAATTATGCAAGGCACGACTGCTCAGGCACGGGAGGGGAAAAGAATAGTTCTTTAATCTGAGGGTTGCTTAGAACTCATTGGCCTGAACTCTCCCTGGTTTGGATCCCGGCAGCAGCCTGGCTTACTGTCCCTGAGCTAGGCCTCCTTCTCAGCATGGAGGGGATCCTGCTGTGACACCCCCCCCACCCCCACCACTTGTGGAATAGTTTGAAGCATCTGATCAGCCAGGTAGGAATCCCAGAGTTTGGAGTCTTTGATCTCTCACTGTGACCTCTAGATGTAGCTTAGATGCTACTTCTTCCAGGCAGCATTCCCTGATTAGCCGCTGCACTCTCCGAGGGCAACATTTACTTGGATATTCTGCTTCCTTGATCTAAAATGCCTGCTAATATGCACTAAGATATTCGCCCCTTCATTTCCTGATACGGGGTACGCTACACAATCAGAGGTCGGTCCATCATGGCTCCATTGATAGTCATTTTCCTTCAACAGTGTACAAAATAAAGCTGTACCTCATAACCAGTGTTTGGTTTTTTGTTTTTTGTTTTTTGTGTTTTTTTTTTGTACTTGAAGAACTATGGAAGAAGGTTAGAGCTCTGGTGGTCTAGTGGTAAGAAGTTACACTGCCAAACCAAAGGTGAGCGGTTTGAATCTACCAGCTGCTCTTTGGGGGAAAAGATGAGCACTCGCTTCCTAAAAGATTTACAGTCCCTGAGAACATTCTGGAGTGTCAGTTAGGACTTGATGGCAATGAGGTATGGTAGAAGGTCTGTATAAGTGGGCCCAAGTTCAAATCCTTGAGGAATGAAGTTAAAGGTTGTCTCTGTTCCATCCTCAAGGACCAGCCCTATAGCCACCAGTGTTTGTTGAATGACCAACTATGAATGCTCAGGTCATATATAGGGCAGGTCTCCTGACTCCAGGATACCCTTAGGACAGCCTCTGCCCCTTCCCTCCACCCCTGCAGTCGGCAGTGCCCAGCACTCAGCCCCTGAGACATATTTATTTCCACTGAGGTCACAAACGCTTGCAGAGATCCTTCCACTGTGGTGACCAGAGGCTCCTGCATGCTTTGTGGATAATGAGAAGCTGGGAATGAAGAGGGGCCAGGTTAAATCCTGGCTGTCCCAGTGCCAAGGCTGCAGAGTTCTCCTCCTGGCCTAGGACAAACAGTGGCACCCACTGTCCTTGTGGCCAGTCCTTCTCGAACTGTACCCCAGGCCAGACAAGAGTGGAGAGGCACACAGGAGGCTCTCCCCACCTTCACCGCTCCGATAAAGGCAGCTGTGATAAAGGCAGTGGAGATAAAGGCTGTGGAGGCATTTATCTGGGGGCCGACAGCCTCATTTATTACCAGAGGGTGGTGCCAGCTGGAGCATGAAGCAGGGAAGGAAGGGAGCTTGGAGGGGTGATCCAGAGAAGCTTGGGCTCTTCTAGAAGCAGATGGGGGCTCTGCCCGAGAGTCCCCAAGCCCCAGAGGACATAGCACAGGGAGATCTTACCCCCAGCCAGCGCCCTAGTGAAGGGTCTGCCATCTGTCCTTTCACCCTCACCAGCATCATCACCACCACCTCCAAAATGGACAGAGATGTTTCCAGACTTGTTAAAATTCCCATGGTGGCTCGGGATGGGGGTCAAAACTGCATGAGGTTGAGCACCACTGGTTTAATTCCACTCTCTAGTCCCAGGACTGGTCATCTACAAGGTCCTTCTAGTCCTATCCTGTGGCACTAACCCCTAATTCTGTCCTAGGGGCCCTATCTCTGGGGCCCTTGCAGTAGGGGAGCTGCATGGTTAGGTGGAAAGTGTGTAGGGAAAATGCTTCTCGGGACAACACCCCCTGGGCCTGTGGTACCGCAGGCTCCATCACTTCCAGCATTGCAGTCTTGTGAGGCTTTGTCTCTCCCCATCTGAGGCTCTCAGGATTCCTCCTGGCTCCTGTGAGAGGGTGTCTCAGATGGGCTCAGCTTCAAAGTCAGGCAGCCTGGTGTGGTGCACAGAGCCAGAAGAGAGGATTTTAGTCCTGGCTCAAGTTGTGTAGCTTCTGCTTCTCCTTTTGTTCATCCAAGTGGCTAGCTGAGCTGATTGCTGACCCGGATCCGTCTTATCTCTGGAATGCCGTTCTGCTGGGCTGGGCTGGGCTGGCGGGGACCTGAGAAGCCCTCTCTCCATCACTGACCACCCAGTCCTCCTCCGGGTTCACCTCTCCCCAGCTCTTACCTGATAGTGTTGTCGGCATCACAGGGACAGGGAAGGGTGCAGCCTGGGCCATGGAGGCCCTCGGGGCACAGCCGCTCTTGGCAGTTCGGGCCCTTGTATCCCGGCTCACACTCACAGGCGCCCGAGGCAGGTGAACACTGGCCCCCATTGTGGCAGTCACAGCGCTGTGAGCATTGGAAGCCAAAGGTCCCAAAAGGGCACTCCTCCTGACACCTTCAAGGAGGAATGGACACTATGAGCGAGGCTCCTCTACTCCCTTTGTACACCCACCAGCAAGCCCTCCACTTTGCCTCCAGCTTTAAGCCTGGGACACTCCACTCTCCAACTCTACTCCTCCAGGAAGTATTCCTTGACTTAGCTCATCCCAGTCAGTTCCATTCTTCTTGCCAATCTGCTCAGTCACCCAGCACTGAGTTCATACCATCACACTTCATCCATTCTGAATTTTATATATTTAAAATATACATTAACAAAAAAAATACATCAACATCTCTGAAATCAGGTAAATCTTAACATTGACGGTATATCATAATTTAATTATCAGTGTTTTTCTTTCTTAGTAGAAAATAAAACAATGCACTCTGTAATTGCTAGTACCTTAGAGTTGATGAAATGTAAGTTTATCTCTATTTATAATTGTTTGAGTGTTTGGATAGATGTACAGTCTTTTTTCTTATATTGAATAAAAAGGCCTCCTTTTTCATCAGCTTGGGGAATCTTTATGTTAAGAGCTATGCTTCCCTTCCTTGGGTCGGGGGTCCCCTTAGGGCAGGAGTTGAGATGATCCCATCAGCGCATGCACCTCCAAGGGTGAAGATTTCGCTGTGTCCAGTCTCCACTGTGGGCTGATACTCAGAGCACCGTGTGTGATGATAACTAGCTATGTCATGAACTGTGTAGGACTACTGACCCTCTCTGCAAGGTTGTGACCCTCACTGCTGACTAGCCAGCTCTCTGAACATGCCCTCCTCCTCCCTTGACCTGTCCATCCACCTCAACTGGCCTATAGCTGTTTCCAGAGGATGTAAATGCATTGTCACAGCCACTGGAGCCTGACTGGATAAAGGCAAATTTGAGGATAGAGATGTGCAACCCCTGTGTTCCCAAGACAAATGACAATGGCTCTGGACTCTGGTTTGTATTATCCGAGTCTCAGCACTGCTTCAGCGGTGCAGATAACCGAGACCTGACCTCACAGCACTCTGTGGCACTTTCTCCTCTGCCAAATGGGATGCTCATAATAGCTAAACTTCATCAAGGTGTTTGCATCAACCACGTACAAAGGAACCTGGCACAAGGACTTAAAAAGGACGGTTACTTATCATTATTATTGTTAATAATGTCTATGTAGTTTTTCTAACAGAACCAATCTAACTTTCAGAACTCAAATTCTGGAATGAATAAAGCTCAAATGTTGTAATAAATAAATAAAAAGAAGGAGGAATTTCAACATCTAATAGAATCTTTGACCTGGGGGATAAGTGTTTTTATTTTTATATTATCTCATTTTCTATATGTCTTCTATAACAATCAAGGGGGGAAGCAATAAAGGATGTTTTTTTAAAATATACAGCCCTTTTCTTTCTTAAATTTTGGAGAGCCACGGGTGGACCTAAATGTTCTCCACTGATGGGGCAGGAGGCACTTGGAGTCTGGAGTTCCTGTGACGAGTTTGCAGGGCCAGACCTTAGGATACAGTAAGGCCAGACAGCCAGCGCATGGTACCAGAGGAAGATATCAGGATTTGGGACACATGTTGCCTTATTATGTGCCAATGAGTCAGAAATGACTCATAGCTGACCCTCCAGTGGGTTTTCAGAGGTTGTAAATCTCAGAGAGAAGACAGCCTATCTTTCTCCTGTGCAGTGGCTGGCAGACTCTAACCACTTGCTTTTTGGGAACTCTAGTCTAGCAATTCCACATTTCAGCGTCTCTGTCTCCTTGTCCCCGTCTTTGTTGCATTTTGCCATTAAGGACAGTGGGAGGAAGAAAGCAACTGGTCAGTCTTGAGTTCCTTCCCTCTCAGAAAGCACTGTCAGTTCTCCCTGCCCAGAGCCATTGTGGTAAACTGCTGAATCTGCCAGGACAGAGGCCCAGCAGCAATAAGGATGGTAACCCCCCCTGTGTCACAGGACAGAGGCTTCAGCTGCTCAGGCCCTGAAGTGTGTCTCCCATATTCTCAGTATCCTCCCTCTGGAGTAGAGGAAGCTGAGATGTAGGGAGGCAAAGTAATTGCTCGAAGCTCAGATGGCCTGCAAGTGCCTGAGACGACTGCTGATGTTCTCATGGCAATTCTGGTGCATTTGAAATAATCTGGGGCCTCAGGAAGGGAAGGAAGGCAGAAGAGAGAGGGAGGAAGAGGGAAGAAAGAAGGAGGTGTCTAGAAAATGGATGGAAGATGGATGACAGGAAGGAAGAGAAGCATGGGGCAGCAAAGAGCGAAACTGAAGTAAGAAAGGAAAAAAGAGTGGGTAAAACCCTAGATTCTCATTAATGGAATTACCAGTCTCTACTTGGCCTAGTGGTAAGAATCTGTATTGCAATCTCAAAGGCATGCAGTTCGAATCCACCAGGATGGGCATTTTCCTCCTGTGTGATTAATTGCTTCTAAAAACCCGCTGGAGGGTCAGAGAAGAATGCACTATCTCCTCCCATGTGATTAATTGCTTTTAAAAACCCACTGGAGGGGAGCTCTCGTGGCCTAGTGGCAAGAAGCTGCACTACCATCTCAGAGGCACACAGTTCAAATCCACCAGATGCTCTGCCGGGGAAGGAGGGACAATCTCCTCCTGTACCAGTCAGATCTGATTTGATGGTACACACAAATAATAAAAAAATTTAAAAAAAAAACAAAAAAACCCACTGGAGGGTCAGCTATAGGTCTGTTCCAACTCGATGGCACTCAACACGACAATTCTGCCTCAGAGCTCTGGTGGTCTAGCGGCTAAGGAGTTAAGCAGCCAGCCCCAAGTCAGTTGGCTTGAATCCACCAGCTACTCTGCTGGAGAAAGATGGAAAGTCTCCTCCAGTGTGATTTACAGTCTCTGTAAGTGGACTGGAGGGTCAATGATGAGTTGGTTTCAACTCCACGACAATGACTTTGATTTTTTTATTCTGCCCCAAAAAGGAGCCCTGGAGAAGCAGTGGTTAAGTTACAAACCAAATGATCGATGGCCCAAACCCACCAGCTGCTCCACAAGAGAACAGTTTGTTTCTGTTGTTGTTGTTGTGTATACTGTTGAGTCAGACCCTCCAGTGTGTCTTCAATTAATCACACAGGAGGATATAGCTCATCTTTTTCCCATGGAGTAGCTGGAGGATTCAAACTGTGTGCCTTCGGGATTGCTGCACAGCTTCTCACCATGAAGTCACCAGATATAGAAGATATAGATATACACTGATTTATAGATTTGGAAAGCCTATAGGCAGGTCTATTTGGTCCTATGGAGTTGTTATGAATTGAAATCAATTCAATAACAATGGGCTCTTCAGTTTTTTTCTCAGAAGGAGTCTTGGTGGTACAGTAGTTAAAGCACTTACCAGCCAGCTAGCTATAAGTTTGGCTGCTTGAATCCTGCCACTCTGTGGGAAGAAGATGAAGCTGCCTGCTTCCTTAAAGATTTACAGCCTTGGGAATCTTGTGGGGCTGTTCTGTGCTATCATACAGGGTCCATGAATTGGGGTCTGTCTGATGGCAGTGGGTTTGGATTTTTGGTTTTCAGCACTGCCTCAGGATGGGCGTCCCCAGGAGCCATGGGGCTTAGTTTGCTTTAGATGTTTCACGTGTCAGGGAGCAAGGTCAGACCAGGTCCCTTCCACTGAGCCATCCTGCTCGCTTGAGCCGAGCAGGACCAGACCAAGCACCGGACACTGAGCTTCCACACTTTATCGTACTTATGGGTGATTGATTCTACAGGCCCAGAAAAAAGAGAATCTGGAAATGAAACACTGACAACTTAATCTATTTACATAATCAGCGCCCCCCCCTTCCTTTTTTCCCTTCTCACAATTTAAACAACTTATTTATTTAGAGATCAAGCAACGGATGCTAATGAATTTTACACAAAGCATGCTAATAATGGGCCCGTGGAACAGAAGGGTAATCACAGCAGGAATTAGTTTTCTACTTAAACATCCTTCCTTTGCAACATATCAATCTAACGTGTCCGATATTGCCATTAACAAGCAGATACATTGCTCAATTAAATTACAAAATGAGCTGCAAAGCCCTCGTTACGTTTCGTGTTTAATTTACACTGGTTTCTGCCTATCCGGGGAGGCCTGCATTATTACACCCGCTCAGCGTTAATATGCTCAGCGATGATTTGGGGTGGGTTAATGCAGCTGTCACCTTCAAAATGAATGGAGGCAATTTGATAAAATACTAAATGCCAGGCAGCCCTGTTTTGGTGTGAACCCAAATGCTACCAACCTTCCAACTGTACTCTTCTGTGGCCAAATGCTGAAGCTTGCTGGGGTGACTCTAGGCTTTTGGGGTGCTCCTTCTGCCCCAGAATCAAGACAAGGTTCCACTACAAAGAAGGAGTTTAGATTGTTTCTCCATTTGGGACATCTTGGCAGTGAAAATCAAGAAATGAAAGAGGTGGCTGGCTGGAGGTCTGGGCCTGCTCATATCCAACAACAAATGCACTATGTTTCTTCTCATATATAGGTGAAGGGGAAAAGGTGTCCTGTCTTTTTGGGAGGTCTCCCTGACTCCTGTTTCTACTGGCTTATCTGGGGACTTTCCTTCTTTGGGAGAGATGGTGAGGATGGAGACATGAATTTCAGTACTGCAGGTCCTCCAGAGATCCAATCTCCGTCAGAGGTCAGGGAGGAGTAGGTCTCAAACGGCAGCCTGAGAAGCTCCCGTAGATGAGTACTGGCTTGCAAAGGGATCAGATCTTGTTTACAAGACCTTGGTCTGCAGGTTAGCAAGTAGAAGGATTAGAGTAGAATATCTTTCCCTTGTGGACATTACTAAGGATCTGAGAATTCTGATTTGATTAGCCAGCTCAGGATGGACTCCTTGGTTAGCTCAACTTCAATCCTTGCTTCTTCTTTTTCTTAAATTTATTTTTATTTTACATTGGTTTGCATACAAAACTCTTATCTCATTAGTATACTTTTGGATGGCCAATAGATACCACACTGAGATACCATTTTACCCTAGTAGCAGTGGCAAAGTTTGACAGGATGGCAAGCAATAAATGGAGAGGATGTGGAGAGATTGGAACTCTCTCTCATACACTGTTGGTGGGATTGTAAAACAGTACAACCACTCTGGAAGGCAGTTTGGCATTTCCTCAAGAAGCTGAACATAGAAATTCCACACGTAATAGCTGAATGTAGCTATTCCACTGCTGGGAATCTCTGCTTCTTGATGTTACCTGGGTAGGGAAGGCAGAGGGGTGGCAAGCACACATTTCTCTGACCTGATCTTGTCCAGAAATGAATCTTAGGTCCTATGAAAGCATGATCCAGTGTGTGAGAGCCTCCTCATCAATGTCCTTTCTCTGTGTAGAGGGACATGTGTGGCTGAGGCTGAGAGGGAGGAGACTTGGCCTATAGACACATGTCCTCCCCTCCAGTTCTGAATTCACTCACCATCAGACATTAGTTGTTGCATCTCCCTCCTCCATCGCACCTACCCTGCACCCCTGCACACACTTCTCTGGTTTATAAATCTGCATGCACAGCCACTTCTCAGCTGCACATGTTGCGGATTATCCGCTCTGCATGGCTGTTTTGCTTCTAGGAGACTGTTGCTTTGGTCTGTTTACCCTCAGCCCACAAGCATTCTGAGGACGTAAACTGATGCCAGTGCCTTTTGGGCAGAATTCATAACAGGAAGAAAAATCCACTGCTGGAAGAAATGCAGCGATGGATGTGAGCTGATTTTGTACTCTCTGCTTCTTCCGATCAGCTGTGCTATTGCCTCCCTGCCTTTGCACAAAAAGTAGAGAGTGGGTAGAGAAAAGTTAAGCTCTGCAGACTGAAGGTATGGAAGGAGAGGTTGGTAAGTCTCCTTGATTGGAGGCTTCTCACTGCTTTCTGAGAAAGAAGCTGGACAGTCGGCCAAGAGCATGTGTGAGCTGACTTCTTAGCAGTTTTATGCACAGTCGTGTTGACCATCAGCAGTGTGAGTGTGAGTGTGATAATGAACGCCCATCCTTACCTGTCGCCCATGTAGCCGGCGGTGCAGTGGCATTGCCCTGTCACGTGGTCGCACTGCCCTCCATGATGGCAAGGGCAGTCCTGGCTGCAATTCTGGCCAAATGTCCCTGGTGGGCAAGGCTGGGCACACACAGCTCCCTGAAACAGAGAAAGGGCACATGCATGAGTGGAGCTCTTGAGATGCCATCCTAAGGCCTTTCTCTCCAGGAAGGGCACCAAAAGTGACAGTCCTAGGAGGCACCCATTTCTTTACTGAAAGCTTAAAAAGCAGCAAAGAAAGCAGAGCGTCATGGCTTTAAAGCCCTCATTGTCCAGATAGGAAGACTGAGGCCAACTGCTCACCCACTTATTCATCCTACACTAGTGAGTGCCAACTGCACAGTGCGGGACACCAGAGATAGACAAATTGAGTAAGACTTGATTTCTGCTCTCCTAGTCTTCTGTGGGAGACAAACAAGGAAACAGACAAAGTATGAGGTGCTAAATGCTCTCACATTGGTAGAAAAGAAAGCATCAGGAAATTCAAAGAGGATTGTGAGGAGATGTGGGGGTCTAGAAATACACATTTATCGCCACCTCTATCCCAAACCCAGCACACATTTATAAGAATAAAGGAGGAAGGGGAGGCATAAACCTACAAGGATAGAGGAAAAGAGGAGCTCATAAAAGCTGTCACATTTTGGAAGATGGAAAATCAGACAGAGGAGAAATTACTGACTTGGCTTTCTGCTTTCTCAGCAATGCAAAGGGCGTGTGGGAAGAAATCAAGATGAAGGCCGTTTGAGTCTTTTGTAATCTCAGAAAAACTGAGGAGTTGGGACAGCAAGAATCCTTGAAGGCCAGGGTACAGATGTGGTGAGAGCAAACGAACACTGGAAAGTTTATAAAAGAGTCAATGAAACTCCAGATATCACCCCTCTCCCTCTCCCCCTCCCCCGGCTCCAAATAGCCAAGTGACTCCCCTTTCCCGTCTGGCAGAAGGCTGGTGGTTCATTGTTCCATACAGGCTTTGGATGATGCAGGGACACTAGGCACAGATGAGAGCTGGGGTGTTGTACTGAAAACGGGTGTCGTGTGGCAGTGCGACTGCTGAATGATCAGAATCTCTTCTCCCTTCACGTGCTCAGCTCCCATACTGCCTGCCAGCTTCTCCTCCCTCTGCTAACAGTCCTTCTGGGGAAACTCTGATGCACTTAAAAGAAAAGAGCTACAGATACTAACATGTGAGGGTCTTGTCAGTCAATAAACCTGGTTTGGTTCCTCATTTCAGGTTCCAGTCTGGTTTTTGCAGCTCACTAGATATTGGAAGTAAAACTAAGGTGTGAGAGATGTATAAAGACAAACAAAAGGAATGCAGCAAACTAAGAAAACTTTGAAAAAGAAAAACTAAAACCACCATTACAACCAAATACGGAATAATGACAATATAACTTATTAGGAGCTCTGCTGGCCTAGTGGTAAGAAGTTGTGCCACAGTCCTGAAGGCACACGGTTCGGATCTGCCAGCTGCTCCATGCGAGAAGGATGGGCAGTCTCCTCTCATGCAATTACCTGCCTCTGAAAACCCACCGGAGGGGTCAGCTATGGGTTGGTTCTGACTCAATGGTACACAACAACAATAAGAACAGCTCTCTTAAAAGTAATTATAAGAAAGATATTGAAGGGAGCTCTGGTGGCCTAGTGCAAGAAGCTGTGTTACAATCCCAAAGGAGTCCAGTTTGAATCCACCAGACGCTCTGCTGTAGAAGGAGGAGCAATCTCCTCCTGTGCCAGTTGGATCTGATTTGATAGTACACAACAATAAAAGAAAAGAAAGAAAAATACTGAAACTAAGAAAGAAATGGCATGCCCTCAAAAGAGATGACCCAAACCAGTAAAACATTCTTGAAAATGAAAAAGAAACTAAATGCCAAAAAGCAAACAGAAAGGTTGAAAGATAAAGTTGAAGACCTCTCTCACAATATAGAACAAAAAATACACGCCCCCCAGTGAAAACAAAACTGGGGGAGAAAAATGTAAGAGAATGAAGAGAACCTATCCTAGAAGACTGGCACTGATTTATAGGGATTTCGGACAGTGAGGCAGAGAAAAGAGAGAAAAAATTTTCTAGAATGAAAGAGTGTAATGTTTTTCTTCTAAAATTGTGGGGATCTACAGAGCACCTAGCACAGTAAGTGGAAAAGACCCAAGCGCAAGTTGAAGGGTGTCACTGCACAGATTCACATGTATGAAAACAGAAATAATCCTGAGGAGAATGGCCACATACAAAAGAGTAGAGGGGGGTAGACATTAGACTTCTTAACTAGAAGTTAAAAGTACATACAGCGCAGCCTTGGAAAAATTTGAGGAAAACTTGCTTCCATTCCAGAATCCTAAATGAACAATCAAGTAGGAAATTCAATGACGGTACTTTCAGAGGTGAGCAATCTCCACAAGTTAAACTTTCTGGGAACATTTTCTGAAGAAGTATTAGAAAATTTGTTCTAGTAAAATGTGGTTGATCAGTGATGGGTTTTGCTGAGCATTTTTTTTTCCAAAAGAAAAAAAAAAAACCAACACAAAAAACCCCACAACTTTTTTTAAAAAAGGAATTACAAAAAAACACCCACAAAAACCAATACAATACAGTTTCTGGGAAGCAGGGAATCCAACAGAATCAAGAGTCGAAAGGACGTCCTAAAGATGGCACCTGGGAATCAGACCTAGGAAGCAGCATTCAGACTGTGATATAAGAATGGGTTCAAAAGGCCTGGCCTGACATGAAAAAAAGCCTAAATCAAGACATGTCCTGATGTGTCTGACCTCACTGAGAGGATTTAAAAAGTTCAGTCAGAAATTACATAAATTGCTTAATGAAACACATGAGGTCATATTAACATAAAGAACTATTTAAACAAAAATTGTAATATAACTCTATTGGGAAGGTTGAGAAAAGTACTGTGTGCACGCACGTGCGTATGCGTGCATGTAAGACATACAGAGAGAGAGAGAGAGAGAACCTCTCTATTCTTCCTCAGCAGGAAATCAATAGACAATGAATGCTTAAAAGGGAAAAGTCAGGGAACAGTAGTAATTAATATTGTATAGAAATATGGAGGGGCATCTAAAAGATTTTAAAATAAGCTACCTCTGGACTCTGGTGGCCTACCGGTAAAACACCATGCTGTAATCCCAAGGTCCTGCAGTTTGAATCCCCTAGCTGCTCTGTGGGAGAAGGATGGACAATCTCCCCCAAAGGATTTACTGCTTCTGAAAACCTGTCAGTCAGCTACTATGACTCATTTTCGATGGCACACACTACCACCATCACCAACCACCTTTGGGGAGTGGAATTGGTGAACCTGGATGAGTACTACTCTAAACAGAGAGTTTTAGCTATCTAGTTAGTTATTTTTAATTTTAGTATAACATTTGAAATGATATACAGTGCTGGGGTAATGAAAAAGATCTTTTCTCAACTGTCTTTACGAGTTTGTCAGTATGTTGAAATAGGTGTGTGAAAGGTCCTGGAAGCCTTTTCTGTGATTTAAAAGCTGCACATTCAACAAGTGAAGGTGATTGTGATGAAGAGTTTGTGTTTGGAGAAACTGGTTCAGGGCACTCCGGGGGCCTGGCTGGTAAGGAGTTGTGCTGTGAACCCAAGGTTGGGCCTCTCTGCCAGTTGAATCCACCAGTGGCTCCTGGGGAGAAAGACAGGCAGTCTCTTCCAATGTAATTTATAGCCTCGGGAAAGCAGTTAAGAGTCAGCTATACCTTGCTTTCAACTCAATGGCAATGAGTTTTGAGGGGCTGATTCAAGCATTTTAAAGTGAGGACAAATCTACGTATCATTAACAGGCAATTTAGCTTGCTTGGCTCCACAATCAATATTCTTGGTATCATCAGCCAGGAAATGAAAGGACAAATTTCACTGGGAAAATCTGCTGTCAGGGACCTCTCCAGAGTGCTGAAGAGCAACGATGTCAGTCTAGAGACTAAGGTGCACCTGATCCAGGTCATGGTCTTTGCAATTACTTGCTAAGTTTCAGAAAGCTGGACAGTGACTAGAGATGATAAAATCAAGAAGAAATGATGCCTTTGAGTTGGGGCCCTGGAGAAGAGTATTGAATATACCATGGACTACTAAGAGAACAAACAGGTTCATCCTGGAGGAGTCAAACCGGGCTGCTCTTTGGAGGCAAGGATTCTAAAGCTCTGTCTGATATACTTTTGGCATATTGTAAAAAGACACCAGTCCTCGGAGAGGGACATAATTCTTTGAAGGGTAAAGGGATGGTGCAGGAGAGGAAGATCCTTGATGAGATGGACTGATTCAGTGATGGGGTGATGGGGGTAGGTGTGTCTGAGACAACAAAATTGGCTCAAGGTAGACTAGGTTTAAGAGCTGTTGGACATAGGGTTGGAGTTGACTCAACAGCACATAACAATACAACAACAAAAGGCAATTAAGGGTTGTCCTTAAACTGGTTGATCCTAAACTGAGAACAGTTTCTAAATTTTGAAAGTTCATCAATCAGAAATCTGACATTGTTCTTGTGGCCCCTTCACCCTCCCTCTCACTCAGAGGTAATTATTTATTTTATGGAGACTGAGGATTATCCCACAATTAATCAATTAGTTTGGCACACAATTATTAAGCAATTGTTAACAGTGAGGGAGCGAGTAGTTTATTTAGGAAAATACGGCCAGGCCAGAATTATCCATCAAGATCATCAAACATACTTGGAATGAATTAAGGAGCAGGCTTTAGCCCCAATTTCTTCTCTACTCACAGGGTCTGGAAGAAGTGTTGGTGGGGGCGGGGAGTGTCAGAGAAGTAAGAATAGACGGGGTCAGAGACCATAGTCAAGCACCATGAAGAGATTGTGAGGACAGGGACAGAGAACATGTCCATGCTCAGAGTAGGGTAATTTCTCATCCTGGAGGTGGTTGGGGTACCCATGCTTGGCAGGGGCCCTGCCTGTCTCACTGTTCCCCATGAGCTCTAAGGATGTTTCCTGGAACAGAGGAGTCTTTCCGGCTTCTGTCCGAGTCAGTCAACTATAGTCCTGGGCTGGACAAAGGCACTTGGACCTTGAAAAAATGGTTTCTCACACACACACACACACACACACACACACACACACACACACACACACACGATGCAGATGTCTCTTCTCCATGTCACTAAGGCTTCTTTCAGGACCCCTAAGAGGCCAGTAGGGATGCCTGAAGCATATAATGCTTCTTTCCAGTATTGCCTGGAGAAATCAAGCATCCTTGAAACTTTTCTGACAAGTGGACAAGTATCTACACTTGGGATCCCCTAACTTCTCCTTAGTCACCTCTGTCCATCAGGTTTTGATTTATAACAATGCTGAAGGACTGAGCAGAACAGCCTGATAGATCCCCCACCCCACCCCCTGCCCAGGCTATCAAGCTTTATGGGACCAGACTGCCACATCTCCCTCTCCAGAAAAAGTAGTTTTGAACCACTGACCTTTCATTTAGCAGCTCAATGCTTAACCAATGGTGCCACCAGGGCTCAAAACCCAAACAAAAAAAGACAAACCAAGGCCAAACCCAGTGCTATCAAGTGGAGTGGTTAATCCTGTCTTCCAGTAGTCATAAAGATTAAGTGAGAATGGAGATGTGAAGAACCGGTGCCTTGAAGAGAGAGCACTTAATTATTATTCATTAGACCCACGTTGACACTCCCTGAGGCAGAATGCAGCTGGAACCTGGTAGAACCTGGGACTGAGATGATCAGATAAGCACCCTCCTAATGTGGATGGAAGAGCAGCCTTGTAAAGAAGAAACAGGGGGAGAGAGTCAGCAGGAAAGTGTCAGCTGAAGAGGGAACAGTGGCCTGATGGCTGTGGTCAACTGAGTCTGCATCTCTCCTTGTGATGGGATCTGGAGCTGAGTGACACTGGAGATGAGGCTGAGGTGATACCCTGTTCATTCAGGATCTTATTTTTCAAACCTTTTTTTGCAAACCACGTAACCCCCTCGACTCATTAGTTTCCCGTGCCCGTTATGTGCATCGTGTGCATGGGCTCATTATTAGCAGAGGCATATTTTATGCAAAAAAAAAAATGGTGAACCGAATGATTTTGTCAAATCTGGAAACCAGTCACACTTTGAGAGGGGCCCTGGCTAACTGGAGCACAAAAAAAGAAGGCCAAGTGGTGAAAGGACTTCAAGTCAAGCCAATTTGCCTGGAGAAGAGACAACTAAACCTCTCCAAACATCTGAAGGCTTTTCTAATTATCACATGTCCCTAGACAGTACGGATGCCCTCAATAAACAATGCAGGGTCGAGGCGGGCACTGGGAGGCGGTCCAGGCCACAGGCCTTGGCTCGGAGTTCCAGGAATCAGAATCACACAGTCATCCCATACAATCACCTATGAGTCTACAAGCTCAGCTACAAATACCATTGCTTGACCCTACTTCCCATCCCTTCCACCCTCTCCTTCATTCATACCCTTTGGGTGGGTGTGGGTGTGTGTACACACCATATCTAGCTCCCACCATCAAGACTGGGAACTCTTAGTCACACACATCACTTCCGGTCTCCCCTTCTGTCCCGCAGTGCCCATTCTCATCAAACTACTACTGGTTTCTCTCTTTTGAAAGGTAATCTCTCATTGCTGTTGAGTTGGAATTCACTAATAGCAGGCCCTCTATTGGGTCTTCACAACTGCAAAATGCACAGGAGAAGACTGTCCATCTTTCTCCCAAAGAGTCACTGGTGGATCCGAACAGCCAGAGCAGCACTGCCTTTTGGTTAGCAGTGCAGTTCTCTATGGACTAGGCCACCAGGCTCCACGAAATAGATCAGTGTTTAGAAAAAAAAAAAGCAGCAAATTCTCGGGCTCTCTGTAAAGTCCCCTCCCGGAAGGGCCCACCTCAGCTGTGCACGAATTGTGAATTTGGGGGTCAGGAGTCCCTGAGGAGTCTTACAGGTCAGAGTTCCTCTTCTCCAGCTCTGTGAGTCTCTCTGTCTTCTGGGTGGGCCGCTGATAGGGTGTGTATCAATCATATGCTTTAGAGCTCAGAGTTGGGAGAATGCATGGATGGGACTCAGGTACAAAGGAGGCAATGGAGGATGATCAAGAGTGACCTTCTCCCCCCCCCGCCCCCCGCCTTCTCCTTGGCCCCAGCTGTCCCTGGGAGGAGCCTCAGGCTCGAACTGCAGCTTCATTATCGCATGACTCTGCGAGCACAAGGGGTATTAATAATTCATACAAATCTGCAAGTTAAATGCTGTGTCAAAAATAGAAACGCTATTGTCTATAATAAAATTAAAAACATAAAGTCCTCAAATCCAAAGGTTTCTATCGACAAGAGTTTCCTGTCATCTGAAAGAATAAATGGTTTAGTGTGTACAGGGGGCTTCTGAAATATCAAGGCTACGACACTGGGTCGAGAGAAAGGCAGATGTCTGAGTTAAACAGCAATCGAGCAGAGATTTGAGGGAGAGGGAGACTATACAAGTACTCAGGACAATACACTCTCCCTCTTGGTGTTCTGGATCCAACAGCTGCCCCAACTGGGAAAAGTCTTCCTTGAGATTTAATTTACAGCCTCAGAAACACACTGGAGGGTCAACCATGAGTCGGTTTTGACTGAACGGCATTGTGGGAGGGGAAAAAAATAAATTCCCCATGTGCCGGCTTCTCCTGCCCCTTCCTGGGCACCAGGCTCCCTCACCTCAGTCAATCCTACGACCCTACACACTCAGAGTAGGCCTCCAGCCTTGCTCTCTCCCCACCCCATTCCAACCCCATCTCCCTGCTCTGCCACCAGGACTCAGAGGCTCACACTGTCTGGAGATGGATTTCTGGAAGTTGACTAGAGATGGGAGGGGTTCTCCTGAGAATACCTTAGAGGAAAAGGGCAGGTATGGAGAGATGGAAGCAGCTCTCTGTCCTCCTCAGAAGACGCAGACAGACAGACACCAAGGTTGGATTCTAGCTCTACCTCAACACCAATCTGCAGTGTGTGACCTTGGAGAGGTCACTTACCCTCCCTGGGCTGCAGTTTCCTCATCTGAGAAGGGAAGGTATTGACAAGCCACTGATGTCCAAGCCTCCTAAAGATGGGTTACTGTTATGAAGTGCCACTAGGTCAGAACCAACTCATAGCCGACTCTCCAGCAGGTCTTCAGAGGCAGGTCTTCACATGAGAGGAGATTGTCCATCCTTCTCCCTCAGAGCAGCTGGTGGATTCGAAACGTGTTCTTTTGGGCTGACAGTGAAACTCTTTTCTACTAGACCACTGGAGCTCAGCGCTTAAAGATGGGAAGCCCCATTTTTCTGTGAAATCATACTAGAATCTCAATAGAGGAAATAAATTAAAATAGAGGAGTAGGAAAGGGGGCCCAGAGCCCTAATTATTAAGCTCCCTGTCCCACCTCCACCCTCGAGGGTTTAGTGAAACTCTGAAGGAAATCCTACAGCCTCGATCAATTACTTTCAAATGCAGACCTGCAGAGTCATCGGGGGAGCTTATTAAAAATAGAAATTTCTGAGTTCCAGAAGTTCTTGGGTCAAGAAACCTGGGAATTGGAACTTGAACAACTTCCCTGGTGGCCGCTTCTGTGCAGCCAGGCTTGGAGGTAGCTGGCCCGGCTGTTCCCCAAAACCTTTTTCTGCTCTAAAAAATGTTGACAGTCTGCGCATTGAGTCGATGGGTCCTCTAGGCGTTGCTCCTGCCTGCCTCATGTGACCTCAGCATTCACAGCCACCTGAAATATCCGGTTCAGCAGCCGTTGTCCCCTCTGGCTTTGTGCAGCATCAGGCCCCTAGGAGGTGGCCAGTGGTATCACTAATCATCCCCAGAAATAGGGTGTGTTACAGAGACTCACAGGCAGGGGTTTGGGCCAGGAAGGCCAGCCTCAGCCTACTGGCTGCCTCTGAGGAGCCTGTGTATTCAGGGGCAACGACAGGTGGAGCGTAAATGAGGCTTGTGGATCATCTGTGGCCTCCAGGGATACGAAACCAGCAACTGCACAGCTCTTCAGCATTTGCAAAGCACTCTGACATGCACTGCTTGTGAGCATCCCAGCAACTACAGAGGTTACTGCTGTGCAGGTAAAGGAGTAGATGACCGAAGTAGTTGAGGGCTTTTGTGCAGGGCCAGCAGCAATGTGAGAGCTGAATTTAGGCCTGGGAGATTATAAATCCCATCCTTCCTTACTACAATAGGGTACTCTGGGGGTATAGCCAACAGAGTAGAGCTGCTAATTCAGAGCTTGTACTTCTCTGCTGGTTTGAATCCACTAGTTGCCTCATGAAAGAAAAATAGGCAGTTTCCTCCTTGTGTTAAAGATTTACAGCCTTGGAAATACACAGGAGGGCCAGCTGTGAGGTGGAACCAAATGGATGGTAATAAGTTTCTTTAATACAAGGGCTGCTTCCAGTTACAGGACCCGAGCTGCTTCAGAATCACCTGGTGCACTTGTTAAAGGGCAGATTTGCCCACAAAACCTCCCTCATCCTGGATCCATAGAAGCAGAGCATGTACGTGTGTCATAGAAACCGAGGCTCATAAATTCTAGAAATTCAGACAGTCCATACTCTGCTGTCTCCTCTCTCCCCCAAGCCTTGGCTATGACCTTTCTGTCACATTGGGCTCGGAGCCCACAGCAGCTCATGTCAGTCCTCCTGACCAAAATAGAGCCAAATCTTTTGGGAAAAATTCAACTCCTTTTACATGAAGACCTACAGTTCCAGAGACATTAAGTAACTCGTCTCAGGACACAAAGCACTTAGATGACAGATCTGGGATTCTAAGCTGTGCTCATGGCACTACTAGCAGTGTCTAAGGATGCCCTGTGACCACAAAGGAAGGAGAGAAATCGCAGTGGGAGAGAAAGCTAGCCCTCCACGAGGCATGTGCACACCCAGCTCCTGCCGGCCCACCTACCGTCCAGCCGGGGTGGCAGGCGCATTCACCAGTGATGTGGTGGCAGGTGCCCCCATTTTGGCAGGGACAGCGCAGCTCACAGTGAGCCCCATGGCTCCCAGGCGGGCACAGCTCCTCGCAGCTGCATGGGGGAAATCAAAGTGTTAGAAAGGACAGCATTCAAGTGAGGCAGGGGCAGGACCTCAGGGCTGCCAGCTCCAGTGTTCCTAAGTTCCCCAGGAATTAGTGCGTTCACAGCCAGTGGGGACTGTGTTAGGCCTGGAGGGTGGCGATCTGAGACTAGCCTGGGTCCCCCTTGGAGTCAGGACATAGGAAACTGCTGCGCCCATCACCTTGTCTACCAGCAAGGAATCAGGAACCAGGTTACTCAGTAAAGGTGGGAACAGCGACACCTTCTTGACCCCACCCACCTGCTTGACCCCGCCCTTCAGGCTCCGCCCCCACAGACCTCCCCCCCAATCAGGCCCCACTCTTCCGGCTGGTGCCCCTCCCAACCCATTCCGACGCTGCCCTGCTGCCCTTTTACTCACTAAACGCCGGTGTAACCCGGTGCGCAGAGGCACTCGCCCGTGCGGGGGTCGCAGCTGGCGCCGTGGCGACACTGGCACGGGAGCTGGCAGCCCTTGCCGTGCGTTCCGGGTGCGCAGAGCTCCTCGCAGCGCCAGCCGCGGAACCCGGCGGCGCACACGCAGGCGCCCGTGATGGGGTTGCAGAGGGCGCCGTTCTGGCACTGGCACCGGTTGCTGCAGTGAGGGCCCCAGTGGTCACTGTCGCAGCCTGTAAGGGAGGAGACAGTCAGGGCTGTGGAGAAGACTTGGGAAGATGACTCAACCAATGCTTATGCGGTCTTCACATTCCTGCATCATTATAACAACTTGGATTAAAGAAAGGCTTGGGGGCTACCCTGGATTTCGTTATTTCTTCTTCCACCACAACACCCTAAAATCGCCAAGATACAGAGAGGCCTCAAAGCATCTTCAGAGCCCATCTCCCATTCTAGGCCATTTCCTCCTAACCAAAGGGCTGCACTAAAACCTATATTGAAGTTCTGCAGCCGCAGGCTGTCTACCTCCACTTTATCTTTGCTAAAAATAAAACTACTCTGGTTTGACTGTTGTCTTTGTTCAATCTGGTCAGGCCTTTTTGCCCAGATCTTCCTCTCCTCTTGTCCAATTGGGCCTTCTTGGAGCCTCCTCAGTAGCCCCCAGTCTGCTCACTGCCATTGGTTTGGATCAGCATCAGAGCTGACCCTCCAATGGGTCCTCAGAGGTTGTAAATCACACGAAATTGTCCATCTTTCTCCTTTGGGGCTACTGGTGTATTCGAACCGCGGACCGTGAGTACTGCCTCCAGTTAGCAACACAACTCCCTATGCTCTATGCCACTGGAGCCCCTTCCAGTCCGGCCTCAGTTCCCATCTTCTTTCGGCCCTTTTCTCTTTTCCCTATGCTCACTGGTTTTCTCACTTCTTGCATCTCACTCTGAGAGTATTTCTAATTCCCTAGCTCCTGGTCCTTGTCATTCTTCCCATCTCTGTCTCCTGCTCCCCCCTTCTTGTAATGCCTCCACCTCCAGGCTGCTTCATCTTCAGTTCCCTTTCATTATATGCCAACCAGCCAGCTTCAGAAGGAGCAGGAGAAAGAAATGTTTCCCTCAGAGGTGACAGACAGCCTTCAAGAACTTTGCATTTAATTAAATGTTTCAAGGAGTGATATCTGAGCAGGCGTTGCAGAATCCCACACTCTACAACTTAGGAAAGGGGCTAGACGGCCCATTTAGAGATCTGGGAGGGTGAACTGACTTCCTACTAGGACCCTCACCCGAAGCCTACAGAGCACACAATGACAAAAGCCCTCTCCCAGTAACTTCATATACTGGCACTGGGGGGTGGGAACGAGGTGTGGAGTTTAGGCCTAGCCTGATACTAATAATATTCTTGGACAGTTAAACGGAAGGAAAAATTGCTTCCTGCTAAAACACCAGCCAAGAACTCCTAGAAGAAGGTGCCTGAACTGGATTTCTCTTGCCTGCCTGATAAGGGTGACTAGTCATGCCAGTTTCTCCAAGTTTGCTTTGGTTTTACCACTGAAAGAGCCACATTTTGGGAAAGTCCTCAGACCTGGGCAAAGCCAGATGGCAAGTTACCCCACTGCTTGAAGACATGCAGATGACCAATGACTGGACTTTCATGTTCCAGTGATTTAGACATTCAGAGAGGAAAGAGCATGGGGAAGAGCAGGTGGGGAAGGCATGGTGGGGTAGATTCTATGTAAGTGAAGATACTGTGGCAATCAAGTGTTGGGTCTATAAAAGAGCACAGGGCTCAAAAATAGCCAGTAAATGTGTGAGATTTTTGTGGGAGTCAAAAGTGTTGGTGGAGGGGTCACTCCATCAGCTTCCCCCTATGTCCCTTCCACTAGCTGGCCAATGTCAACTGGCTAGTGGAAGGTGTCCACTATAATTTAGTAGACAGAACTATTCTAGATGTGCAATCTCAAACATTGTGTCATGGTTTACTCCTTCTTCACCTTCATTTCAATTATTCACAACTTGAATTTCCAGGTTCTCAGTGAGTCTCTGCCTTACAAAATCCACCCACATTGAAAGAGATTGACTTAGTAAGTAGACCACAGTCCAGGGTTTTCCACCTCACCCTCTCTCTGCGACAGTTTGAGTGAATGGGAAAACTTGCTGTCAAAGAGACGTGGTTAAACTAACATAAGTACAAAGTATTTCTTATAAAGCTCTATTGTAATAATGACTATAATCCTATTTTAAATGCATGCTATGTAGTAGATACTATTCTAGAAGTTTTATATACATTATCAAAATTTAATTCCCATAATAATCCTATGAGTTAGGTTTTTATTATTTCTCCACTTTGGAGATGAAGAAATAAAGGGTTGGCGAGATTAAATAATTGCCCAATGTCAAAGTCAAGAGTAACCCCAGGTCTTCTAATTTCAGCTTACTTCATTGTACACACTGGGGCACTTTCTACAGGATGGTTACAAGTGGGGGGAGGGCGGAATTAAGCAAAAAAAAAAAACAACAGATATGTCTTGGAAAAAGTCCAATCAGAGTGCTCCTTAGAGGTGAGGATGATGAAGCTTCATCTCACATACTTTGGACATGTTGTTAGGAGGGACCGGTCCTTGGAGAGGGCCATCATTCTAGAAAAGGTGGACGATCAGAGAAGGACTGCAAGACTGCGATAAGATGGATGGACACAGTGACTGCGGCAATGTGCCCAAGTATGTCTTAGATGATTAGATTAGAATGGCACAGGACAAGACAGGATTCACAGGGCTACTATGAGTCATACCCAACTTGACAGCACCTAACAACTATAACAACAACAGGGACAGAGTGACAGTTGTAAAAGCACACTGGCAGGGACACTATGAAGGCTGAGCTTCCGTTCTCAGCTCATCATTGCTAACAACCTGAGAATCCAGAACAAGGATTCCTTTCATTCACTAGGATTCCAGTTACTGCTCTGAGACCGTGGTGACTTCACACCACAGTCTTAGAGTCCAAATCCAGCTTGCCTCTCTCTGGTGCATTCGAGGGCATACAGTCACACTTCACGTCTCAGGGGTGGTGTCCATTCTCTCCTGGTTAAGGCCAAAAGCCTGTGGGCAACAAAGCTGTGTCACTACTAAGTTGGAATACTGTCATAACATCTACGCACTTGGACTTGATGAGACGTGACGTGGGGGCATTCATTCTTCCACTCATTCATTCAGTTAGTCTTTGGACAATGGAAACAGTCAACATACTTGGCTGCTAACTGAAAAGCTGGAAGTTTGAATCCACTCCAAGGTGCCTCAAAAGAAAGACCTGGTGACCAACTCCCCCCGCCCCAAATCATCCCCTGGGAACCCTATACACACATTCTACTCTGACACACATGGGAACCCTGTGAGTTGGAACTGATCAGAAAGCCTCCTTCCCTCCTCTAGTGAGGACAGAGATGCTGGAGCAGCATTGAGGGCAAACAGTGTGAGCGCTGTGACAGGAGTTGTTTCGGCTGTTACAGAAGTGCATGAGTGGGCCCAACCCCAAACAAGAAGGGAGATTAGGGAAGATATCCTGAAGAAGGAAAGGCATCCTCAGAAAAGGCAAGAGAAAGCCATGATAGTGGAGGACCGGTCTGGGCGTAAGGAGCTCTGGTGGCCTAGTGGTGAGGACCTGTACTGCCAACCCAATGCAGTTTGAATCCACCAGCTGCTCCGCGGATGAAGGGCTGTCTCCTCCTGCGTCATTTACTGCCTCTGAAAACCTGCTGGAAGGTCATCTATGAGTCAGTTCCGATTTGAAGGTACATAACAACATGGTTAGAGGTTAGGAAAGTATGATGTTTGAGAGAAAAAAAAAAAAGTATGTCTCGAGCTTAAACTTTAAGGCTGAACATGATATGAGTGAGGCCGACTCCTGAGCAGGGCACCCAGGTCCTAGGGTGTCTGTGAGTTATGTTAAGTGGTGTAGACTTCATACAGGGGACCTCTGAATGCATTTTAAGCAGAGAACTGCTAAAAGCAGGCACGGTCATGGAAAGATGACTCTGGTGAAAAGAGACTGGAAGGCAAAGAGACAGAGTTGGGGGTGAGGAAGAGGGAGGGCCAGGACACTCTTGTAATAGGAAAGAAATGGTGGCAGCCTTGACTAGGGTAGTAGCATTGAGGATGGAGAGAAATGGAGAGATTCCAGCTCTATTTATGAGGTAGAATCAGCAAGGGCTTGGGGATTGATGGGGTGCTGGGGAGGGGGGAGAAAGGGATGAGAGTGACAAATGTAAACCCAGCTCTGGCTGAGATAGATGGGTGGATATTGGTGCCCCATTCTTTCGGAAGCTATAATATCCAGAGGACAATCTGGGAGTAGAGAACGAAGTTCACTTTAGACACTGATTTGGAGAGCTCTGGTGATGTTTACAGACAGTTGTACTGCCAGTCCAGGGACCACGTTTCTCCGGCAGTTCAAAGTCACTCTGCTGGCATTCAAACCCAGGAAGGAAAGTCCCTCAGTGTAAGTGTTCACAGATATGCAGGGCTACTGTCCGTACTCTCAGGCTCCTACTAGCTGGGTAAACCACTTAGCAGTGGGAGTAAGAGAAGCTGAGCTGCTGGATCTCATACGCCTCCAGGCCACCGACATCAGAGTGGCAAGAAGGAAGGACACCCTTGAAGGTAGTTAATAGAAAACAGTGATCATCATTTTAGCCCAATTCAGCTCTAACGTAAGTTTGGCTCAGAATTAGTGGTTTAGGGGAGTAGTCGCAATATTCCGTACACATCTTTCCTTGGGGATTTACAGCCATGGAAAGCCCTGAAGTATCAGGTATGACTTGGATCTTCAGTGAAAGAGAGAAGGGAACCTGAGGAGATCTAATGGCCCAGTAGTTAGCGATACCAACAAAAAGGTTGGTTGTTCCAGCCTACCAGGTGCTCTGTGGTGGGGAAGGTGGGGCAAACTGCTTCTGGAAAGACTGTTGTTGTTGTTAGGTGTTGTCAATTTGTTAATGACTCTCAGCGACCCTATGAACAGCCAACCTGAACCCTGCCCCATCCTGTGCCACTTTCAGCCTACGAGACAGTTCTCTGTTCAGAGCTGCAAAGAGTCAGAATTGACTCAATGACAACAGGGGGTTTTGTTTGTTTGTTTAGGAAACTTATTTACTTTTAATGTAAATACAGTTTTACTAAGGCTGACAATCTAGTTTCTCAGGTCATATACTGGTGTGTGAATGTGTGTATGTGTTTGTGTCTACATGT